GAAAAAAAATGTTTGATGGCAAGCGGCTCAAGGGCCCTTTCTCTCTCTCTTTCTCTCTCTTAATTTCTTTTTACTTTCCTACTTTCCTTTCAACTACTACGAAACTAAAAATAAATTGTTCAGAAAATACACAACCAACGAACCAGAAAAAAAGAACGAACCAACAAAAATCTTGGATACAAAAATTGAAAGTTTAGTTGAGGTAAACAAATCAATGACTCATCTATGTTAAATATTTCCATTGCTTAGATAAATGAATGTATGAACGAATGAATGAATAAATGAATAAATATATGAATGAATGAATAAATAAATGAATGTATACACAAAGCAAAAAAATAAATAAATGCATTTATTTGTAATAAGGGGATGCAATATCATGAAAAGGAAAAATTATTTGATGAGTGTACATTCACATAGTAATGATCTTAACCATTATTACCATTATCATCATCATCATCCTCATCATCCTTATCAACATCATCATCATCAACATCATCATTAGTTATTCACATGAACGAAATCAACTTTATGTTATAATAATGAGCTCTGCACTTGAATTAAAAATAAAAAAATTCTATGGCGATGATGATGATGATGGTTTTGCAGCTAATGATGATGATGATGATGGCGATGATGAAGATGATTACTAATATCAGTAATAATGAAAACAATATTAATATGAAACCATTCATTGTGTATGTATGAATATATGTATGTATGAATGTATGTATGCATGTACATATGTATGTATGTATATATGTATTTATGAGCAAAAAATTTTAACTGTTTATTATAATAAATATATATATATCTGAACTTTAAATTGATTAATGCTAACAATTTGGTAGAATTCCCACAATACTGTATAAAATATGGTCTCCTTCCAACATACATACATACATACATACATACATACATACATACATACATACATACATACATACATACATACATACATACATACATACATACATACATACATACATACATACATACATACATACATACATACATACATACATACATACATACATACATACATACATACATACATACATACATACATACATACATACATACATACATACATATATAATAACAATAATATGATAAAACGTTCCATTCATAGCAAATATATTGCTGATGATCCTCATTTTCGCTGTTGCAACTTTAATATAATTTAATTATAAATAAACACACACACACCACACATACACACATGATATATATCCAATATATATATAACGATTATAACATAAAACAGTATATATATATATATATATATATATATATATATATATATAAGAAGTGTGGAGCTGGAATAATAAAAGAATATTTAGTTATTCAAATGGTTTCATGTTGTCTGTCGGTGCGAAAGTAGGAATAATAATTGTATGTATGGTTGAGTTTTGTATGTTTGTGTTTGTGTGCTTATGCGTGCATGTATGTGTGAATGAGTTTATGTGCACGTGTGTGGCTAAAAATTTCGGTTTAAAAAATTATTTCTACGCCAATTTTTTCAAATTTTTCAGAAGCCCGTTCGTGATTTAAAAAAAAATTTTAAAGTGCATGAAAATGATTTCAAATCAGATAATCAGTGGATGAATGAAGGACAGAAGGGCAGAAGAGAGAAAAGAAGCAGCAGCTGTTCCATGATAAACATCTTTCATGTCGCAAGGCTTGATGAAACACGATAAAATTAAATTCATAATTAAACAACATCCACATCCGATCTGTTCTTTCGAAGCGCGCCACCAACCTCGTCCAACTTCAACTCCACACGTCGCCAACATTGTACAAACCATCCCCTTCTGGAACGACTCGACTGGCAAGAGGCCAGCATGGTAACGAGAGACGACGGGGGTGTGGAGGTGGAGAGGGGGCAACATCTGCTGGATAGGTTGCAGCTGCGTGAGGCCGAAGAAATATTTACTAGGACGTACAACCAGGCTGCCAACCACACCAACCACACTATCCACACCAACTACACCAACCACATCAACAACGACATCAAATTATTCGAGTACTTAAATAATTTATGCCAGCAAGCGGATTGTTTGGTGGGCATCAGCAACTGCAGGACGAAATCATTCAAGCTGGGAAGATATTTGAAAGATGACTTCTGGCTCCAATGTTTCGTCCTACCAATCTGTTTCTTGCACAGGAGCCAACAACTTTACAACAAAATCATTCAGCTGGCAAGCGAAATCAAACAAGCTGCCACCCAGTCCGACCACTCAAATTTCTTGCATAACTGTTATGAAAACAGCGGCCAGACTGGTAAAAACAAAAATAACCACACTCCTAAAGATGAAATTTTGATTAGTGATGGCTCTGACGCTAAGAATGTGCTAATTTTTGACGATGTGCGTAACAAATTGAAGAGGTTGGAGTTTCAAATTTCGACACTGGAAGAAAATTTCATTCGAGGATTTTTGTGTAAAAGTTTCGGAGCTGTCGCCACAGATGTTCATTCACCTTCGAAAAATAAGAAAGAAGTAATGAATGAGCACTGGTTGAACGAGTTACTTCATAATTGTACATACGTTCAAGCAAACAACTGGACCAATAACAACAACATCAACAACATCAGCAGCAACAACAACAACAATTACATCAACAACAACATCTTAAAACTCACACGGCCCAGCGGCACAAAGACCAGGTCACCATCTCAGCCACCACCAACGATACGAAACCACCTCAACCACAGCTTCAACCACAGCGACGACACCAACCTCACTATCGATCTACAAAGCAAACAACGACCGAATAGCGGCCACGACAGCCGGTCCAACAATTCATCGCCTACGCCACCACGTGCGGTTGTTAGTAGGATTGCCAGAAAAACGATAAATTTCGAAAAATTTCAAGAGGCCATACAGAGTTTCGTTAGTGAAGTTTCCAGCCAAGTTAGTGAAAAATTTTTCTAATACATTTTTGCTTTATAAGATTTTGATTTTAATTTATGCTATCAGTGAAAGAACATATGCCAACTTTTTTAACGTTGATAATGCTTGCATAATGAATTGGATCGCCAGTTATGAAATTATATAGTAAACAGAATACAATATCAAACGAAAGGAACGCTAGTTACATCAACAACATCCAACATGCAGAAACAGCGACATACAACAACAACAACATCATCCAACAACAACATCCACTATGCAACAACAACAACATACAACATACAACAACAACATCCAACAACAACATACAACAACAAATCCAACATACAACAACAACATCAACACTTCAAATTCAGGTTCGAACGAAATACGGCAGCCTGTCGAGAGTTCCAGAAACGATGATGGAGAAG